AGCTAGCTACTCGGTTCAACGTTTACTGTCGTTCTGCTTGTTGTTGCAGTTGCCGTTATTGTAGATGCAATTCGAATTTGGTGTCGATTTCGTTGTAATCGGTTTGGTAGCGGTAGATACCGTTGTTGGCTGTTGTAGCCATTGGTAGCGGTAGATACCGTTGTGGGCATTGCCTATAAAGGCGGATGTTATGATGAATTTGTTTGTAGGATTGTAGAGTTTGGATTTGGGTACCCTCACACTCCTGTGCACTTGCTGTGATCAAATAGCAAGGGCAGGGAATTGTAATGGTATTGTTGTTACCTGCCTGGAGGCTGTTGTTGCCTCAGGTTAGCCTGTAATCAGTGGAGGAAGTGCTGTGGCTGCGGGATGCCACAATACACATTCCAAAAATTGGTAGTAGGAGGTGCTGTGGCTGGGATGCCACAATACACACTCCATGAAAGGGTAGGAGGTGCTGAGTGTAAACTCAATACACACTCCAAAGAAAATAATTCAATGTTGGGGCGGATGCACTCCTGTGCTTCCTGTAGCTTTGTTCTGCTTGCACTGCTCCAGTGGCTTGCACTGGATGCGCTTCGCTCGGTACCGGTACGCTAGCTAGTAGCTGGCTCGAGCACTGGTAGCTAGCACGGGACATGCTCCGGTGGTTCCTGTACCGGTGGCATGCTTCATGTGCTTTGGATTCGCCGTGGCAGAATCCTCCAGCTTGTTTGCCGACGAACGGTACGGAGAGCTGGAGCTGGCTCCGTGCCGGAAGATATCCTCGAAAGATACCTTTTTCGTGATCAGTGGCCCTGCGTTCTTGTGGCTGTCGTTCGCTGAACTGTAGGCTGTTCTTTGCCGTTCCGTGGAACTGCATGGTTGCATGCTGTCAGCGATTTCCTCACAAAAAGCAAAGATTGCCTTTTTCTTGGTGTCGGCACTGCCAACACTCCTGTTGCCGTCTGAGGCTGTTGCCGATGATGGTAGCACGATGCGTAGCACGATGGTGCTGTCGCCACTATCGGTAGCGACTGGCTATGTAACAGCGGTCGTCGTTCGATCGCTCGTAGTAGCGAACTCTTGTTGTTCACAGTAGTAGTAGCAGCAGCGGTAGTTGTCATTCGATTGTTTGATCGTTGACTCCCTACTCCTGCAGTTGACTGTTGGCGGAATTCGAAAATTCCACGGTTTGCCGATGGACGAATCTTCCTTCCTCAGCGTGGTCAGTGCTTCTACCTTGTTGTGCCTGTTGCGCTAGTGTTCGTAGCACAACTTGTTGTATGACAGTCCTGCCGTAGGACCTGTAGTTGCCGTGTAATTGGCTGGGTAATTCGTCTTGTTGTGCGTTGGAATTTTCCTTCGCACCTCTCTTCTAGTAGCCTATTTCGGTGGCTCTCTTGTTGAGGATAGGAACTCTCCCACGGAAGTACCTCTGTGGTATTTTCCTGTTGGGACTTGTTATCTCGTTCCTTCCTCTTCCGTGGCAACACTTGTTGGCTAGCACGGTTCGTCTCCGTAGTAGCCTTGCTGCACTTCGTACGAACGTCTTGGTCGCTCCGGTTCACACCGGAAGCTTGTTCTTGTGTATGACTCGATTTGGTAGCTAGCTAGATAGCTTGGCTGCCGCTCCTGCACTGCGTCGTGCAGTACTTGTTGGACTCGTCGTCCGAACGTGCAGATAGTTGAGTCCTCTTGTAGTTGGTTTTCGTATTAGCACTGGGATAGAGTATCTCCAGTCATACGATGGCTGTGTTCCGCAGCACAAAGGTCTTGGTGTTTGCTCACTCCTGTGGGCTTGTTCTTGCACGTCGCTCACTCCTGTGAGCTTGCTTCCTTGATCCGTTTGCTCGCTCCTGTGAGCTTGCTCCCTTGATCCGTTTGTTCGCTCCTGTGAGCTTGTTTGCTTTCGAGATGACACTCTTCGTCGTGTCACTCCTGTAGGCTTCGTACGACCACTTGGTTCCGTCGTAGACTTGGCTTGACTCCGTACAGTAGCCTTGGCTCCGGCTAACCGGTAGCCGTTCTTCGTATTCGCTCACTCCTGTGAGCTTGCTTCCGTCCTGATCCGACCGGAGCTCCTTGCTCCAACTCGATTGGACGTAACTCACTCAATTCCTGTTGGATTTACTTCGTTCAAGCATAGAACTGGTGTAGTTAGTGATGCTCTTTCACAGGATATGCTTACTTTGTTCCGATTGGGTCGTCTCATGAATGACGGATCACTCCGGTGTAGCTTATGCTCAATGGGAATTCGTGATTCTTCCCTGATGCGGAATTTCGCCTCTTGAGCTGTTTTGGTAGCCCTTATAGTGGGGCTATAGCACTGTCTTCCTGAACTGTTCGTTGAACTGTTTACCTTGGCATGTAGCTCATATAAGATTGACAGATTCCCATGGGCGAAGCCGCAATATCGATATCTCGAAGACGAGATGAACTTCTTGGAAATAGTGTTGGTTGCTAGTAACACTCTAGCTTAGTAAAGGTAAAATACTGTTTTACTGTTAAGCTATTTCCAAGAAGTGATCTTTCTCCATGTTTTCTGGGATTGATTCAACTTCAAAGGATATAGTGAAGGGGGTGACCATATAGATCAGTTAAACTCCACATGTATGTAACTAGAGAATAGATATAGATATCCCCTATCAACTAGATTGGGATAAACGACTAATTTGTATTGAGGTGTCTGTAATACAACCTCCAACACTTGGGCTTGGTGGTAATCTCCTTTATTGCAAAAGGAGGTGCTATCTCTTCCGGCTGAGATATCGACGAGGATGACGACGACGACAGAGATGAGTGATCACGGTAGGATCCAAAATCTACCTGTTGCTTCTTGGCTGGCTGCTTCTTCTGCTTGCTGGCTGCCGGCTCTTTCTTGATGTTTGCAGAACAAGGAACTTGGTACCTATTCAGCACTTTCTTGAGATAATCAGCCTCGCTTAGCAACTTCCAACGATTCACGTACTTGCTGATTTGGAGTCGAATCGGGTCCCCTCTGTCACCATAAAGCGAACCTTCGTCGATTGGTAGTCGTTCGTTAAGTAGGTCAGCAAGCACTTGAGATTTGTTTGATCCCTTCTGCAATGCCTTAATACCCCCCTCAAGCTTCGATTCTATATCTGTTGCGAGCTGCTTCAACAAATGTGAGGGAAGACCAGGCCTGCTGCCAGTGCTGGTTGTGCTCTTGATCGATCTCCCACCTGGACTCGCAAATGAAGCGCTTGCTGTTGTTCTTGGAGTGGCACCAGTTGGACTAGATGGAGGAAGACCCTTGGACCTCCTTGTAGATCTTCTGGGGGTTGCCATTGTGGCTGGCTAATCCATGCCACTGAATGCCTCTACTAACGTTTCGTCATGCGAAAGCCACACAGCCACGAAGCCACGAAGAATCGAATCTTCATCCCTCAAGCAAGAAGTGCGTGGCAAGGGTCATTCAAGCGAAATATCTAATTGGTCCAAATGGAAGAATCGAATCGAATCTTCTAGAGCTAGCTAGACCAATCCTAGTAAGCGGTAGGTGGTATGAGTATGGTATGTGCCACTGTGAGACCGAGCGAGCGACAAAAGAAGACAAACAACGACGCAAACGAGGACGAAGAAGCAAAGCAAGCAGCAACCATGCCAGGGAAAAAGAAGAAGAACAAAGGATGGGAGAACAGTAATACTTGAATCAACTACAACAAACAGAAAAGGGGGGCCACAAATGGAAACAGCTCTACAAAGAGATGCAGGGACACGATGAATATAGCTCTGATTAACAATAAGGAATGGTTGACTAGCATACTAGTACTCGTATCCTCTTGTTCACGACGTCGACTGTCAATCTTCGTGTTGGCCGTCGATACCAGTACCATTTCGTGTTGTCGACTGTCGGCTGTCGATGCGATCCAAACATTCCCTTAAACATGCCCTTAAACATGCCCTTAAACATGCCCTTAACATGCCCTTAACATGCCCTTATCACGAATGAACATGCCCTTAAATAAACATGCCCTTTTAAAACATGCCCATAAATCTTCGACATGCCCTAAACATGCCCTTAAATCTTCACATGCCCTTAACGGGAACCAGTATTTTGAGTCAGTCGTGGCAGTTTTTAAATCCTGAGCCGAAACCGTCGGACGGTCCAGGCCAACGGTCGTTAATCCATGCTTTGGTGGTTAATTAACACCAAACTATGGCACCGCGTTGTATCTAGCTATACAGGAAGTAATAGCTAGTAAATGTGCCTGCGTTATTTTACTCTATTTGTGTTTATGTTGGTCGTGCGCAGGACGCCTGGGATTGGCATCACACATGCGAAATATAGCGTGCAAACTTGCAGCATGTTCCAATTTTCGGAGCATCCACTTTTTCTTTTCCGTGGAAAAGAAACATTCACCATGGCCTTTCAGCCGCTGTTTCCTCCCTGTGACGCACTACAAACAAGAGCGAGAAGATGTCTGCGAACATAGAGGACACCAGGAAGGTGGTGGGTGGCTTTTGCTGGGCCAAGGCAACGCAAGTTACGCATGATGCAAAGAGATTCTTTGGTTCCAACACCAAAAACACATGGTTGAAGGGACTTGTCCAAGAGGTTGAGATGCGCAAGAAGACACCTGATGCGAAGAGAGGAACGAACTACGTCAAGGCATTGTACAAGATTGGAGACTACTATGCGAAAGAGCAGTGGATCTGCTTGCAGAATTTGAAGGCGACCAACCCAAATCCAAGCATCAACGTGGAAGCAATGAGCAATGTTGAACCACCTCCGCCTCCTCCACCACCACCACTTACCAACAACAACAACAACAATGAGGAACAAGCACGGACACCTCCTGCCACGACGCCTCCTGCAACTGCTGGTCCAGATACCGGCAACAGTGAACCAGAAGAATCTGACAGCGTGGAACAAGGTTCTTCCCCTGAAAACCCGGAACAACAGCCCTCACCTGCTTCTGTTGAAGGACCGCAACCAGTGTCAAGCAAGCATGGATATGATTGGTACGCTGGCAAGGATCCTACTGATGTCCCGGTGAATGGTCCTATGCCCTTTCGTTCCTGGCAGATGCATTGTCAATTCAACCACAGCGTTTACACTCCCAACTGCAATGAAAATGCCAGCCGTACCAGCAACTTCATTCCACCGGTCAACCTGTTCCTTGCCTGTTTCCCCAAGACGCAAATCGATTTCATGATCAAGGAAACCAACAAGGTTCTGAAGGCAGAGAAAAGGAAGGAGTTAACGATGGGAGAACTATTGAAGTTCTTTGGTGTTACGTTGTTGATTACACGTTTCGAGTTTGGTGATCGCAAGACACTTTGGGAAAAGGATTCGTTCCGCAAGTACATGCCAGCTCCGAACTTCGGCAAGACAGGCATGAGTCGCAACCGCTATGAAGACCTCAACCGGTTCATGGTTTGGAGTCATCAGTCAGCAGAGAAACCACAAGGCATGTCTTCTCAGAAATACCGGTGGATGAAAGTGCAAGGCTTTGTCGACAGATTCAATGAACATCGCAGGCACTACTGGCAGCCATCTGGTTACATCTGTGTCAATGAATCAATGTCCAGGTGGTATGGTCTTGGTGGAAGCTGGATCAACTGTGGCTTGCCTCACTACATTGCTATTGACAGGAAGCCAGAGGATGGATGCGAGATACAGAATGCTGCTGATGGAGTCACCGGCATCATGATGCAACTCAAGTTGGTGAAGGCTACGGATTCGGATCAAGAAGCAAGAGAGGAGAACGCAGCAGTGGAAGACGACAAAGGGTACGTGTACAGTCTACTCATGACTTTGTTTGTTTTAATGCATTCTAACTACACTATCTTTTCTTATTGATCCCGCAGGTACACTCATGGATGCAACGTTCTTTATGATTTGGTTAAGCCCTGGGCCAACACCAATGCCATCGTTGTGGCTGACAGCTACTTTGCTTCTGTTGGCACTGCCGTTCGACTCAAGACTATCGGCCTTCGATTTATTGGAGTGGTCAAGACAGCGACCAAGGGATTTCCAATGGCTTATCTGTCACAAAAGCCCTTGCTTGGAGGTCGTGGCGATGTCCATGCTGTTACCTCTCGCCATGCAGAGTCTGACACATCCCTTATGGCTTATGTCTGGGTGGATAGAGATCGTCGCTACTTCATTACGTCCTGCAAGAGTATTGCCCCAGGCCCTGACTGTGTTCGTTGGCGATGGCGACAAGTCGATCCTGATATCAATGCACCTGCTGAGCGAGTTGAGTTAACTGTCAAGCAGCCAGAAGCTTCGCATGCATACTATTCTGCATGCGGCACCATCGACCAGCAAAACAGGGTGAGGCAACAAGCACTGCAAGTTGAAAAGAAAGTCCAAACCAAGAAGTGGGATCGTCGCGTCAACCTCTCCATCTTCAGCATGTGTGTGGTCGATGCCTTCGAACTGTCCAAGGGAACTCATGGCAACAGCTCCAAGCACACACCTCGTGACTTCATTGAACAGCTTGCAGAAGAGCTCATCAACAACAAGTGGGAAGAGAGAGCTCTACGAAAGCGAAAAGATAGAGAAGACGACAATGACGAGCGCGTCACTGGCAAGAACACCCTCAAGTCTACTTATCAGCTGACTGCTCCCACTCTGTCCAAGAGGAAGAAGGATAATGGGGCTGACACCTTGCAGGGGCGCTGCATCATATGTAAGAAGTCCACTACTCAGGTCTGTCGAAGCTGTCAGGAGAAAACAAATCCCTTCGGCAAGCAACAGTTCTGGATTTGCGCAAAAGCAGGAAAGGTCTGCATGGGTCGCCACATTCTCCAGTGCCACCCTGACAAGAACGCCAGGCTTTGCAAGCCAACCTTCGATTGGCGTTGAAGTGTCTGTTGGATAGAGGAAGCCATCCTCTTGTTTAGGTTGTTCTATGGTAAGTACTCGCTGATCGCAACATCTGTTATGAAGGTATCCGTTGTCAACTCATCGGTTTGAAGTTTTAAATTGTGTGTAGGAATCTCGTGTCGGAGGTACTTTTAGTAGCCGTTATCATTAATTAACAACAAGATTTGAACCCGTGATCATCGTTGTTCCTAGGATCTCTACCTGCGCTGGTATGGGTTCGCGTTACCGTGTGAATTAACCCCCTTCCGATGTTAAATAACGATTTTAGCCGGTCTGGAGGACACTAGTAGGTACCGGTTCAGAGTGCTCGCTCTTCTTCGTCCATCGTCCCATCATCTGTCATCCATCATGGTTCGATTCGATTCGATTCGATTCGATTCATCATTCAATGGCATACATGTACATGCAGTAATAATAATATGAGGCCGGTCTCTACCGGAGCGACTAAGGGACCGACTAAAGGAATCCTTTAGGTGGTTGTTTAGTTCAAGATTTAGTCATTATCCTTTAGTAATGGTGGTGTCTACCAGCAGATAACTAAATCTCGGACTAAACAATTTAGTCAGTTTTTTTGTCATTTCAACCGTCTACCCAGCCGACTAAACAAATTGACTAAACAATTCATGGGAACAGTACTGGACTTAAAGGACTCAAAAAAGATTTAACAAAAGTGATCACTTGGTGGGCTACCAATATTCTATCAGCATGGTGGATTTAAAGGACTCAAACAAAGACTTAACAGAAGTGATTACTTTTTTGAGATAACAAGACTCAAAACACACCATTGCGATGCACCTCTCCTCTGTCATTCGATCGTTCAATCGTTTGCACCTCTACTATCATTCATTCGATCGTTTGCACCTCTACTATCATTCAATCATTCGATTGTTTGCACCTCTACTATCATTCATTCGATCGTTTGCACCTCTACTGCCATTCAATCGTTCGATCATTTGCACCTCTACTATTAATACTACTATCATTCAATCGTTTGATCGTTTGCACCTCTACTATCATTCATTCGATCATTTGAACCTCTACTCTATCAGCTCTGTCGCGATGCTCTGATAGTGAGGCTGTGCAATGAGGCGGTAATCCTGTTGGAATTTGTTATCCAACTCGGTGGCATGCAGTCGTATTGTTTCCTGTTGGATTTGCTGTTCTTAAAGAGGCTTTAGTTGGTACATTCACTCACCGACTAACCAGCCTCCCTTTAGTCGGTGAACCAACATTTTGACTAAAGGCTTTAGTCCGTATGACGTTTAGTCGCTTGGGTAGACACCGCCCCAAGAAACTAAACTATGGACTAAACTACAAAATATGGCTTAGTCGCTACTTTAGGCCGGTCTCTACCGGAGCGACTAAGGGACCGACTAAAGGAATCCTTTAGGTGGTTGTTTACTGCAAGATTTAGTCATTATCCTTTAGTAATGGTGGTGTCCCGCAGATGACTAAATCTCGGACTAAACAATGTAGTCGCGTGTTTAGTCAAAACGTGGTGTCTACCGTGGCGACTAAACAAATGACTAAACGGAACACTACCGGACTTAAAGGACTCAAACAAGATTTAACAAAAGTGATCACTTGGCGGGCTACCAATATTCTATCAGCATGGTGGATTTAAAGGACGTAAACAAAGACTTAAAAGAAGTGATTTCTTTTTCGAGTTAACAAGACTTCGAGTTAACAAGACTTCGAGTTAACAAGACTTCGAGTTAACAAGACTCAAAACGTTCGATCGTTTGCACCCCCACTATCGGCCGATACTCCTCTTCGATCGTTCGATCGTTCATCGTTTGCACCTCTACACCTCTACTCTATCAGCTCTGTCGCGGTGCAATGAGGCGTTTGCACCTCTAGTATATCAGCTCTGTCGCGATGCTCTGATAGTGAGGCTGTGCAATGAAGCTGCTGTTCTTTTTTTTTAAAAGAGTTCTTAAAGAGGCTTTAGTCAGTACACTCACTCACAGACTAACCAGCCTCCGGTTAGTCGGCGAACGAACATTTCGACTAAAGCCTTTAGTCTGTAGGACCTTTAGTCCCTATGGTAGACACCACCCCCAGAGACTAAACTATCGACTAAACTATGAAATATGGCTTAGTCGCTACTTTAGTCGCTCCGGTAGAGACCGGCCTTAGTCGCTCCGGTAGAGACCGGCCTCAGTGAGTACGTGTATCGGTAGCAGTGCCATCTGCGCGCGACAAGCTTATTAATTTTAAAATACCTTCTTGCAGTTTTGAAACTTCCCTTCCTTGAACAAGTTCAAACAGATGGTGAAAACCTTACTATAATATGCATATAAGTACTTCATACTCCATTACTCAGTACATGTAGCATCGAGAATACCTGTACTGCAAGGTCCGGAAACCATTATGAAGTTTTGAATTTTTTCAAACAGTTTTAGTTTCTCATTTTTAGTTTCATTTTCTCATTTCTAGTTTCTCAAGATGAGAAACTAACAGATTATTTTCTCATTTGAGAAAATAGTTTCCCACTTCTACAGCACGTTCACTAGTAGTTTCTCCTATAGTTTCTCATTTCAAAAGATAGTTTCTCAATTTTGACAAATGAGAAACTAACTTTCTCATTTGAGAAACTAGTTTCTCAAATGAGAAAGTAGTTTCTCATTTGAGAAACTGTCAAAAAGGATTTCAGTCATATCTGACCTTGCTGGTACCTATACTCAGTAATAGCTATGTCATACAGGTTTAAAGTCGGTTTTGGTCCATCACTTTGAGACATCAGCGATACTATAGCAAAAACAGTACAATATCGGAAACCTTCTGTCTCACTCTCTATTTTCTGAGTTAACGGGACTCAATGTTGGACAAAAATATTTATGCATCTCACCAAAAGCATAACGAAAATGAAATACACGTTTAACAAAGGGTATATGATGTTAAATCATGTGATCAGTATGGGTAACATGCTATGAGTCAATGGACTTATGGGTCAATCGGACATTGAGACAGTCATTTGCTTATAGACGGTTTTGGTCCATTTTTAACGCTCGGACTCCCAGAATTTGGGAGACCACACTCCCAGAATCTGGGAACTCCCAGATTCTGGGAGTGGGGTCTCCCAAATTCTGGGAGTCATCAAGTTTCTCTGTACGGTACAGTTAGTTCATCCATGGTTAGTACCTACTAGCAATCTACTACCGGTAGCTCTATCAAGATGATGCAATACACGGCTCTTAGCCTTATTCGCGACTCGATCCTAGATAGGGTTTGAGTT